GAGGAGGGAGAGAGGGTGGGGTTCACTCCAAGCCACTGACCTCGGTAATTACCCTGTACTGCCGCCTGAATCCAAATGTGATCTGATTGAGATAATTGCCTATTGGAAACACCATTGAACCTTACTCCAGCCGCAGTGCTCTCTGCCTGGACAACTCTGAACCTGTGTCATGATGCAGCCGAGCTGCCGTTGCTCTTTCTATAAGGCCTGATATTTAGCAGAGGAGTAGATTGAGACTGATGTTTGTGTGCACATGATTCCGGCCCAGCCATTGTCCCAAGGGCATGGCAGTGTAATCAGGGCCCAGATAGCATCTCTGGAGGGGGGGAGGAGGAGGAAGCTGGGGCTGTGGGCTGATCCAGAGGGCAGATATATTTATCTAGGTAATGAGAGCCCAAACACTGTGGCTCTGCGGGGAGGGGCCGGGGACATGGCCTAGTGCGCCGAGAGACCCGCCAATGCCATGACGACGTAGTCCCCGTGCTGCTCATTAAACTTCCATCAGCGTGTGGTCACCGTGTTCCTGCCAGGCCTCCAAAGTGCCCGTTATTAATTCATGAAAGCACACCGCACATGTGATTGAGTCTGGCGAGCAGTGAAGCATTAAAGCACAAGAGATGGGGGAAATATTGTCTGTGTCTGAACACCCAACCCTCCACCAAACCCCTCCCACGCATTCCCTCTGGCTGTGTGCCCTTGAAAAAAAAAAGAGACCGAGACACAGATACACCATGTTGTGAAACATTAATAGCCACTGCTGCAGTTTGCCTACAGCTTGAGAGGGTGCAATACAGGTGATGTGAGGGGTTGAGGGGGCACATTGATGATTGTATGTGTGCTATAGGATGTGCGTGCATACTTGGAGTCCATTTGCTGCTGTGTTCTATAAATGTGGAGGAGGTGGCTGTGCATTGTCAAGACATTCTGTGTGAATATATTAGCAACAACCAGGAGTGTTGTTTTGGGATGGGATGCTTGTACGGTGAGCCAGCCTGCTTTTATCTCCGCTCCACAGACGCGCTGCTCTAAAGCTTGTGTTGGGAGGGCCGCTTTTAAAAAGGAGACAGTAAATTGGCCTGGATATGGATTGTTGCAATTGAATTTAAAACATTAGCTCCAGGATAATAAGGGTTGCTATAGAGAAAATCTAGGAAATGCATTTGGTCGTTAGAGCATGGAGGGATGGGACTAATGGCGTATGGGGGTGGGCTGGGGGTGGAGGCAGAAAACGATGAAAACCATTTTTAGGATGAATGGGTTATTTCAGGGAGAGAGCAAGAAAAGGAGGGTGGGGGAGAGAGGAAGTGGAATAGAAAGGGGAGACGAGTGAGACGGCAAGAGAGAGGGGTGCTACATGATTTCAAATTAACCATTATTGTAGGCTGTGACATGTATTATGTCTCCCGAGGCTCCGAATCTTGAGCTCATTTTCACGGAGAAGAGGGGAATAAGAGTCCAATGTCACAGTTTGAGCGTGTACAGCTGGCTTGAGCTCCTCATCTTACGGCCAATTATAACTCCTCTTCTTCCAAATCCTTACCACAGCTCTCCGAGGCAAATCTCCCCATGCATAGCTTATTGTTAGCTTCACTCGATGTCCAATTAACAGAGTGTTCCTCTCACTCTCTCCTCCAACCCCGCTGTGGAAAATAAGACACTGACCAGTAAAACTGTGCTAAGCTGCAGCAGTCTGTATCACTGCAATGATTAGAGTAGAGGAGTGGGAATATTTAGGAGTTATTATATTTGCAAGGAAAGAAGAGTGAGTGCTTTTAATTGTGACAGCAACCAAATGTCTGTATCAGAGAACAGAGGGAGTTATACACACAGGGAGTTATTAGCACTGTTCTCGTTCTGTTTGTCTTGTAATTAAAACTACAGATCACAGACTGCTTAATCTATCTACACCTTGCTCAAACAGAAGAAGTTTATAAATGGAAATAAGATCTGAAACATTTTTTATGACAGTCTGCTGTCTGACTGTAATTAAGCACCTCACGGTATGTATCTATTTGCAGGGGATCAACCAGACCTGTTTAACTGGGGGGCCTCAAACGGAGGGGTCACAGAGGTGGCACTAGAAATCACACTCAAATGAACTGCAGTGACATACATCAAAATATATGATAGATGTTTTGTTTTCATTTTTTATATCTAATTTAAAAATAAAGAACAGCAACCCACTGATCTAGCATGCAAATATGGAGCCAGTTTCAGTTCAACTGAAGTGCATGCTGGGAAGAGACAGTCCATCTCCTGTTATTATTCAGGTATGATAATCTAACTATGAGACGTTTGATTTAGTGCGATTTCAGTCAGACTAATGTGTTCACATGTTTCAGTCAGACCAAGGTAGTAAATCCATTTTTAGAACGATGTGAATTTACTGAGTGTCTGTTCTTTGCTACTGTAGAAACACGACTCTAGGGTAGAGGACACCCTCCTTAAATTTCTATTTCTATTGTCTGTTCTGCTTAATGCTGCTAAATTCTACACACTGTACCTTTAAAAACTCAAGAAAATGTAGACTATATCCAGTGTCACATTTGCAGTAGTTACGGCTTGGTGCAATTATTATTCAATTGATTGAAACCATTGTAATAATATATAGGGCTGGGCGATATGGCCTCAGATCAATATCACAATATATTGAGCCGTTCACCTCGATAACAATAAATGGATGATAACTACTCCACAAGCTGATCACCCCCTCCCACGTTAACTTCGTCTACTACTCCAGTTGCTACAACTTTTGAACCATACTCCATCTCCTCACCTGTCTTTCCCTCTTTGTTACGGACTGGATGGGGTGGAGTCACATCTCTGATGTAGGACAGCGTCTTAAAGGGACATGAGACCATAGCCTACCTACACACATCCAAAACCAACTTTTATTTATTTATTTATTTTTGACACCCAATATATTGACATTGGCAAAATGACGTCGGTTATTGTTGTAAATTTCGGTATCTGTAAATTTTCGGTTTATCGCCCAACCCTAATAATAAATCACAACTTTACTGTTTACATGGACTCTGAATAAGATAATCCTGTTAAGATGTGTGTTTACATGCATGCATCAAGCATTCAATCAACATTAGTCCATTTGGAAAAGCCTGAAGTTGCAGTCTAAAGACCCTCTTTGTGGAAGGTAAAGATCTAAGCAGAAGGTTAAAAAAAAAAGAACACAAACTGTGGATTGGTGTGAAATTTCTCTTTGATTGCCCTAATCAGATGAAGGTGTTAGACTTGATCTGTTTATTCTGATGAGGCCGTTATTCTTATTAGAGATCCATGCAAGTATATCTTATTTAAAGATCTACCAAACGAGGATCTAGACCACCCCTGATCCACTCCTCAGGGAATTTGGAGGAGCCAGTGATTTGACTGAAAGTGAAAGTGACCTTGTCCTAGCTTGAGAAGAAGACAAAAAACCACTCCTGTGTCAGCCCACCTTACATGGTCAGTCATGCAGGAAAGACAAAATGGCATCTGTTGTGAGGGAGGGGAATATTTTACTACATGGTTTCTTCCTGTGTTTACTATCTTGGAAAGTGAAAAGCATTTATATTAATGTGCTGCGGTCCAGCTCAGGAGTGTCTCTGTCAGATTTCATCAGTGGGTAATTAATTACACTGGAATAAAAAAAAGAAACTCCTCTTGTATTAACAGCAACATTAAACTGCAGTGTTTATGATATCATTAGACCAGTATGTGGTGTCATTATCAGATGGGTGGGAAATGTAGCACAAAAACTAAAAATGAAGTCTAAGCCCAGTGTGAAACGACTCTTAATGAATTTACACGCCTGTTTATCAGGCTGATCAGATATTCTTAGGTGTTATATCTGGGGTGTTACCTTTTAAATCATTGTTTTTTTTATAGCGAGAACATTAGCAACAGGCTTTTCTTTCCTTTTTAACTGTTTGCTGTTGAAAGAAATTGAAGCCGTATTCAAACTAAAACAGCTTGAGTTTGCTATTTGATGTCTGTATTGATGATTATATGGCAGAAATGACTGGGACGGTCGATTAAGCCGCCCAAGAACAGCTTCTCAGAAAGGTGTTTAACTTATTTAATCATGGCATAGTAAATTTGATTAGTGCATGTAATATTCTTGATATATATATCGTACATTAATGCCCTTTGTCTGGAGTATTTTAATAGTACTGTGACAGGTAGGCTCTGTGTCAGGATGTTATTGTTTTCTGCCTACATTAAAACTCTGTGGTAAAGGGGTTTTACAATTTGTGGTGTCACTGTTGAGCAGCTTAATGATCACTGAAGGTCCATAACAAACCCTCTTTAAGTGGCAACAGACCCCTTGGATGTCCAAAAATCAAGCTCAAACAGGCCAGTCATAACAGCAGATGTATGCTTGTTTGCAGTGTAGCAGAAAGATATAGGGATATCGTCTAAAGTTGTGTTTGCCAGTCTCAGATGTAGAGCTAGAAAGTATTTTCAGAGGAGTGACAAGATTATTCCTGACCTAAAGTAAAAAAAAGACGAAACTTTGGTGGAGCAGAATAGTTTTGTTTCATTTTGTGTGTTTCTTCTTTGCAATCAAGCTCTGGCCAAAACATCCATTTGCCACAGCATAACTGAATAAAAGCATCACTGTAATACTAATTTCTCTATCTCATGAATTTACTGCGGAAAGAGAAAACTTTGCTTTCCTAATTTATGGTGATAAATTAAAGTTTTCACAGTGTGTTTATTGCCGATGCTCAAATTGCAATATGGATAAAAATTGTGATCAGCACATACACACTGATTCAGGCACACATGATAGATGTGAGCCCACTTCCTTGTCTCACCTTCAGAGTGAAAGGTGGTCAGTATTAGCTCACATTTACTGCAGCTTGGAGACAAGAAGAGCAAAGATTTACCACGGCCAAATGTAACCACCTGTCTGCTCTGTCTCTGCCACCAGCGCTGCTGCCCAGGAGGAACCATTAGCAGACATCTCAACCACTGCCTCAGCTCTCAGAGGGCAGGACATGTGTCATGTGCTTGCTAAGGTAATGTTTCAAAACACATACTTTCCTACTGGGTGGTAAAGTTCACTGCAATGTTGCTCAAACATTTAAACAACTGGAGAAATTCACTTGATAGACATTATGTTGTTATTTTAGCTTGATGCTTTTGACAGTCAAAGTGTCCAGGACTTCCTGCAGCAGAGGGACATCTGTGTTATATGTGTCAGAAATGTGTTAGTAATGTATCTGCATAATCGTAAGGGGCGCTGTGGAGTAGCAACTCCCACTGGGAGACAGATGGCAGCGGCCACAGAAGAACGAGGCGTGTGCTGGCTCTGCACATTCACCGTAGGGCCAGATCTCAACACCTCACCCCTTTCGATTAATCAAGTCTGCCTTGGTTATTTAAGGCCCCAGATTAATCATGCAGGATAACTGAGGTGATAGATTAGGGTTAAAGGAAAGTTGGGGGGTTTGAAAGGAAAAGGTTTATTCAGTGGAAAGTTTGGCCCTGCAGCCAACAATCATCTGACCGCAGAATTTACATATTCATCAGTGGGACAAATTCTCGCCACTCGTCATGTGATATTTTGACATGATGAGCGGCGTCTGATCTGCCCGACCATAAAAAGGTGGATAAAGGTCAGAGACCACTTAAGTTAGCCCTCTTCCCATGTAAGATGAGAATGATACTATAGGTGCTGATAATACAGAGGTGTTAATATGTAGGAGTGCCATTTTTAAAATGATTGGAAGGAAATGATGTAAACCTCCTTAAATGACTTTTTTTTTAATCCGAGGTGGCAAGAGTGTTAATTCATTCTGTGTGAGGCAGTGAGAGCGTGAGAGCAGAGCTCTTCAGGCCTCTTCACTGCTAATTTAACTTCCTTATGTGAGAGGATATGCATACATCAACACTCAACACCTCAACACTTGCAATTGGCGGGACTGGAGGAGTATGTGTGTGTGTGTGTATGTGTGTATGTGTATCTGTGTGTGTGTGTGTGTGTGTGTGTGTGTGTGTGTGTGTGTGTGTGTGTGTGTGTGTGTGTGTGTGTGTGTGTGTGTGTGTGTGTGTGTCTGTGTGTGTATCGGCAGAACATTGGCACTGAATCCATACAAGGAGCCATTTAATATATGTCGTTTCTTTGCCATGCTGTGTGAATGACGGCTGATATAAAGAGTTAACTTTTGTTTATGAAAACATGTGTCATGCCCCATTGTGTGTCCATAAGTGGCTCTTTTTCTGCAGGTCTATCAGTGTAATCACAGCTTTAGGTCTGAGTGAATAAAGGCTGTCTTGTTCATGAGCAGTGCATTCCTTCTACGCTGCAATAACAAGTCCTCGCTTTGCTAATGAGTGTCTAAAGTGAGACAGTCTGGTGTGCTGTTAAATGGCAGGCAGAGCTGTGAGGATCTTATTCTAACACTTAAAGCTGACTTGATCTTCTGTCTTTACTCCTGCCAGCTGCTCTTTGCTCTGACAGACATGAGCACATTCCTTGGAAAGAAGATTCTGGTTGAGCCATTTATCTGCCAATCAAAAACCAAGGGGGTCAACAACCCCCTCCACCTCCACCACCCGGATCGCATGCCCTCACAGCCCCGGCTCGCCATGCACCGTTGGGCTGCAGATGAACCCTGCCGCATGTGTGTTGATGTAGGATCATTTGAGCATGTCAGCACACAGTGAGTACAGCACGTCTATAAGGGGCCACAGTTAAGTTTACACTAATTAATGGGCCTGAACTTTTCAAGGCAATGCATAGCTTTCCAGGCAGTGGGACCGAATTCTATATTTAAATCGTAGATGCAGCAGGGTTATTTCGAGCCGGGAACATTACCCAACACATTCTCATTTTGCTGAATCCAAATGAAAAGTGCCACCTGAGTGCACAGATTGGAAGACTTGGAGGGCACTTGTTTCTACCCTTCATAGGAACATCTGTTAAATTTTAAAAGACTTTGAATATTTTTCAGCAGAAAAATGACTCTACTGTGGCTTTTGGTTCAGTCAATGAATTTTCTCTGCCTTGATTGCAGGAGTCTGTAGGAAATGGGCTTTTAATACAAACATTAATTTTTTTAGTTTTGAACAAAACCTTGAAGATGGGGAAAATTTATTTTTAATTCAAACTAAAAAGATTAACCTGTATACAAATTAATTAATAAATGATACATTTTTTGTTTTTTCTCCATCTCCCCTGATGGTTTGTGGTGCAAACCTGACGACCTGACAGAACTTAATTCTTACTATTTCCACGTGTTGTGGGAAGTAGGCATTAGTACATAGTACCTGATAGACATTTTACATACAGATGGATGGATGCATTCATGCTTCAAAATTAGATCTGCCTTTATTTTCCCAAATGTGCTGTCTCATCAGGCAAGTACAAGAGACCAAGCATTTAATTGGGACCTACTTCAGTTTTACAGTGAGTGTTTTACATTTTTCTTTTTAGAGACAATTATCATTTTTAAAGTTTATTAATGTATCATGATTCTCAGTTTCTAATCTGCAGATATAAAAGTTATCAGGCTAATATTATATTACACTAGAGAGCAGAGTTGGTGTTGGCACTAACAGGCTGTAAGTACATTGGCTGATGAAAAACAAGGAACTGCAGTTTAAAAAGTTTCTTTCTTTTTTAATCTAAGAGCACAAAACACTTTCTATCTTTGTCCTTGATAACGAAGTTGTAGGGTTTTATCAAAATTTGATTTAATTCAAGACATATAAGGTTGTTGAACAAATAAAGAGGAGTAATGTTTGTTACTCATTGTTATGCTGCCTGTCCTGACTTACAAAACTCTTGTGATCCCAGCGAGGTTTCCTGTCTAATGAGTAAGTAAGAAGTCAGTTAATGCAGTTTGCTATCTCGCAAGGCTCTGTATACATACCATGTGTCTGTACTGAAATGAAAGGACACACATATGTTGAAGGGTACTGTGACATTTCACAATAGCAGTCTAAACTGAGCTAACACTCCTAAACAATGTCACACCTGATTGTTGGCTCATCCCTGCCTGTGCTTACTGAGGCTTGTCCAGCCGCTCTCCTGGGGTTTAGTGAAGCACTGCTTCAGGGACAGGAGAGAGGAATGGCCTGCTGAGAGGGGTGGGGTGAGCAGCATTATAGGGGTGCTGAAATTTGTGCTCTCAGAAGACTTTGTCCCTCTCCCCTTCTCAGCAGGGCCCTGTTGCCACCTCCCCCCTGCCTCCCTCAGCCTGTCTTCCCTCCCTACATGACAGAGGAGCCGCCGGAGCAGCTGGGGTTAGGGATACTTGTCAGCAGGGTGATCGTGTGTCCTCTGAGTCTGTCCCCTGTCTGTCCCATAGCCACGTCGACTGACAGCCAGCATCAGCTGATTATCGCCCCGGGCGCAGTAAAAGAAGCCCACTTTGGCAGTGACAGGCTTATGACTTGCAAGACATGCTGATATTGAGTAACCGGCACTTCATCCAGGGGCTCAGGCGGTGTTACTCTAGCCTTGAGAACACACTACTGGGCAGATAGTCTGACACATTAGCAATCTGTGTAAGGTTAAAGGATCAAATCATAGCCACGGTCATAAATTGCATCTGTTACCCGTACAAGATGTTTATGTGTTTGGGGGCTGTAATTGAACTTTATAGCTCCTTTGATAAGCAGAGCAGAGAAATTGCATCCATCTGAATGTGATTCTAATCATGTCCACAAACACATGGCTAATAGATCATTAAACTAAAAAGGTTTACTCATCATTAAACCGGTGCTTTGCTATGTTTGAATAAGTTATATTGCTGACCGAAGGCAAGTGTGGAAATGATAGTATACGAGCATGGCACTCTGAAAAGTTATTTTAATCCCTCCTGACCAGTGGTGCTTGGTGTTTGTGTATTTTGAGAATCTCTGAGAGGTTAACACCCCCTGTGCTCAGAAGCTCAGACAGACTACTGGTGTCTGGTATCAAGTTGAATTAAAGCTATGTCAACACATTCAGTCAGCGGGGCTTACATTACAGAGGCCCCTCATTCGTCTCTTATCTGAGGCACAGACAGAGAGTCAACATTTCACATACACACAAACACACACTAGATATTCCCTGTTCTTTTTCTTCTAGATATATTTTTGTGTTAAAATTTAAATGAGTTTGGAAATCTTTCTATTGTCTGCCGTGAGGACATGTTTGCCTTGTTTACAATGTGCAAAGATTAGAAAGCACTGAAAGACATTATTTATTGATGGAATCAAATTAAAAGTCTCATACTTGCTCTCCAGAGCTTCAGCGTGGAGTTGAATTATTAAGGAGGAGTTTTTGGGGTTGTGTGCTGGTTGAAGTGTTGTTCTTGAGCGGCAGACATTGTAACCGTCCCCCCTGGCTGAGTGTGTTGTTGTGTCCCCTGCCCCGGGCCCTCACACTTCACACTAACAGTAACTGACTACCTCTGGCTTATGCTGTTATGTAAAGAAGGCTGGTCAAATAGGAGAAGGGGGGCTGCTGCCTGCCCACCTGGGGAAGTCATCGTGAATGAGGCGACGTCGTTGTCATCCTCAGAGGTCCCCCGTTGTTCTGCTGATTGCCTGTGTGTGCAGCTTGTTAGGCTGCTGAAAGCATCGTGTTTAGCCCCAGAGACGATGGCTTGAAGGTGACATCTGTCTGGGAGCAGGAGGGGAGAGGAGAGGAGAGGAGAGTGCTGCGCCACGCTGCTATAAATACGCAGCAGCCGTGACAGCTCACAGAGAAAGCAGCTGAGGAGAGGAGCTTTGCAATGCTGCATACCTCCTAGTGACCCTGTCACTTCCACAGAGGTCTTAATTATTCTGCACTGGCAGCTCCCCTCTGCTAGCTGCTCAAGCTCTGACACACAGGGGCTTGTCAGAGGAAAGGGCCACACTGTTCTCAAAAACATACTGCACCCATAGAACATGTAAACAGTAGTTTGGTTTAGTGTAAAAGCGGAGCCTGTCATTTAGGTTTTAAATTAGGAAACCCTTGTGTTTTTCTCTCGCACACTTCTCGGCAGTTTGTCGCTGCTCATCCTGTGATTATTTTGTAATAACTCCTGAAAAAGCAAACTCATGACCAGAATTTGTCCACTTTTGGTTTTGCTTTCTTCAGTCGCTCCCATACTGCTCAATACTCTCTGTTCCCTCTCTGTTTATTGTTTTACAAGTGTTATTTATGATCACCCCTTACACCTTTTTTGTGATCTGTCACTACAAATGTCTTCACACAAGTGATTCAGTTGGACATGCAGTTTCTAATCTTATACTCAGGGTTGCAGTCCATAAAACAAGTCATATTTTAGCATAGTGTGAATGACCTCTGTTACCTTGCGAATGACGCTAGTGACTCTAACGGCTGCTGCTGGTATGGAGGTACATCTTTATCACCTTTGCAGGCTTAGAGGCAACTTATAAATGGGGCTAGTGTTTCCACACTCAGGTTTCAGTGCGGTCAAGGTCACAGAGTAGTTCCTGTTACACATGCACTTCACTGACACTGACAAGAAGCGTTTGGTACTCATCTTAATATGAAATAAGGAAACCGATCGTTGTTTAATAATAAAGCTACTCTTAATTAACATCGTACCCTCCTGTATGTCACATGATTTAGACGTTATTTTTGCTGCAATTTAATTTCTCCCCACATCCCTGTCAAGATTAGTGTCTACTACTCACCCTGAAATAATTCCTCATGTTGTTCCTGCCGCCATGCCCAGCATCCTGCCCTGACAATGACGAATATTGTTGTGTTACTGTTATCAGGGCCCAGTTGTGTACTTCTGCAGGAGTATGTGGGTGTGTGTGTGTGTGTGTGTGAGTGTGTGTATGTGTGTGCGGCACTAACTGGCACCAGTGGATAGATTACCTAATACAGTCCAAGCACGTTATTAGACCCCAGGGCACTGGCTAAGTCACTCTGAGTTCTGTTTCTGGCCTTTTAATTATTCATCAAGGTATTGCCTGGGATGTAACCTCAATTACTGCGGGCTGCGGGGCCAGGTCACGTGTTGTTAACACTGCGCTGTGATCAGAGCCACCACAGGGAAGGTTGCCAACGGGAAGAAGTGCTCTGTGGCTTGGCACTCCACCCACCGCCACTGATTGGCTCACATTTAGCAGGATGCTGGCTGCAATGAGGGCAGGGAGGGGGGAGGGGCATTCCTCAGATTCCCTGTGGCCACAACGGGGACAGGAGGATGGTGTAAATACAGTAAATCAAAGCTTGATTGGTGTGATCAGCGTGGTGTGAGCAGCAGTATGAGGCTGAAGGAGAGAGGAGGGAGAGGAACAGCTGAAGGTTTTAATGAGCCAAGAGGAGGGTGAGATGTGAGCTTTTTCTCTGGGGCCCACCTGTAGTGGGCAGACAGGCTGTGCACCTGCAGTCCTGGCGCCCTCAGCACTCAGAGCAGAGGGGGAGAAGGGAACTGGCAACCCAGCAGCACTCAACAGAAGGACACAGGGATGAGAGGCTGGTCTGATTTGAGTGGCTGGAGGGTGCCAGAACCAAGGACTTTTTCTATCAAAAGCTCCCTGTTCCAGTGTTTTCATGTTGAAATTAGGGAATTATTTCCCCTTTATTTTTCGTGCTTAAAACAAAAACAGGAAAATAAAGCCGATTGAACGTCCCTGCCTCTCAATTTGCACCTTAATAGGGCATCTGCATTCCATTAACATCCATAAAGTGGAACCGCTAGAGCAGAATTTTTGCACTTCCATCAGAAACAAGGAGAATGATCAGACTTTCCATTTCTCGGCTGATTTGTGGCGATCGTGTGCGTCTGTCCCTTGTGCCTGCATCGCTTTGACAACCATGCCATGCATATCCAGGTAGTGATAATGAGAGCTGCTGTCATGGCGATCTATGACTAACAGCAGTTTCACGCTGTGTTAAATCAGGACTTCTGCCTTGTCCGGTCTGCCCCCGGAGGCCGCACCTACCGTCACTATCTGATAACCAGGCCTCCATATCCCACGAATTAGGACATAAAAAAAGAGATGATTATCATATGCCGACAAATGCAGATATTTTTACTTCATGTGTCACCCTCAGCATGGCACAAATAATCCACCAGCCCTTGATGTTTTACTGCAGTGATTCAGTGTGACACCTGCCAATTGTGCTGCTGTGAACTCGGTGAACTGGTTAAATATACATCATGCTATATTGAAGGCTTCACACCGTTTCACTGACCTACAGGTGGTTCTTGTGTATCAAGTGATACGGGGAGGGGAGAAGAAAACTACCAGCTACTTAAATTGGAAGAAAAAAACAATTGGATATTTTTTGCATGTGTTTTATGTCACAGTTATCAGACCTCTCAGGCTGCTGTCCTGCTAGTTTTCTATTTCCTTCAGTACAGCAGCCTATATTGATTTTCAAGTGTCTTTGTAAGTTTTAAAACGACTTGTATGTCTAGATTTAACACATTCTGAATCTGAGTAATGTTATCCTTTTTAAATATGGTCATACATTATATATGTAGTCACATAGTCTATATGAACTTTACATGAAATACAGTTAAACTCAGGGCTGGGCGATAAATCGAAAACTTACCAATACCGAAATTTACGACAATAACCAACGTCATTTTGCCTATATCGGAAAATTCTGTGTTAAAAAATAAAAATGTATAAATGTTGGTTTTTGGTTGTGTGTAGGTAGGCTATGGTCTCATGTCCCTTTAAAACGCTGTCCTACATTGGAGACGTGACTCCACCCCATCCAGTCTGTAACAAAGAGGGAAAGTCAGGTGAGGAGATGGAGGACGGTTCAAAAGTTGTAGCGACTGGAGCGGCAGCTGAAGTAGAAGAAGTTAATGTGGGAGGGGGTGAGCAGCTTGTGGAGTAGTTATCATCAATTTATCGTTATCGAGGTGAACAGGTGAAATTATCCACTTCCCTGTAGTATTGGGCAGTTTTTCATGTTTCAATCCATTCACAGAGAAATGTACTTCCTTGTAATGGACTATCATCCATCGATTTACAGATCCACAGATTTCTGTTACATTCAGTATATAAGAACATAATGGCCACTAAGCACAGATGTCCTTTACATTAGAATGGACGTCAAACTGTGCAGCCATTAGGGGGTGCCATGCAGTGTTTCATCAGCTAAAATTAAAGCTACATCGGAGAAAAAAGAGAAGTTTCTGATGAGACACACACTTAAGGTGAAAGGAGTATTCATTGTGTGAAGAAAAAGGCAAACCTTGTATTTATGTTTTTGGTTTCGAACTCGCAAAATCTGTCTTCCAAAAGTCACTCCACTTTCCACAGAACTGTTAGCTTAAATGCTTGACACTGCCCCCTCTGGTTTTCAGTAGTATTGCAACATTTGTTCTGTGACCATAAGTGTCCAGAAATTATGCATGCGGAGTACAGGCAGAAGGTTTATTCTGTATCAGTAAGTGCATCAGATGTTGGGCATAAATGAGTCTTGAATCATAAAGTTGTCTATCATCAATAAGGAAAGCAAATTATGAGGGTTGATATGCTTTAATTTTACAATGTCATCTAAAAATGTGTCTGTTTATCAATTATCAGAATACTAGCAGATTATTTTGGTTTCAGCAACTAACTGACTGATGGATCCACCTCAATAGCTGCTGTCCTAAACATCATATCATCATATCTGGAGACAAACTGTTTTGTCTGAGCCCTGCTGCTGTTAACAACTGTATTGTATTACACCCAGAGGAGACAAGCAGATGTCCCACAGAAGAGCTGCTGGAGCTCTGTGCAGGCAGTCAGTCCTCAGGGGGGTGCAGTCAACAGGAAGCAGCTCCAGATGGGACATCCCGTGTCATAAATATTGTGTGAATTGTACTGGCTGTAATGACACATGCCTTCTTCTGCTACGCTTCTAACCAAGTAACCTTGACCGCAGATTTACAAGTACAGACATAAATTGTGGTGAGCGATTTAGAGGCAGCGAGAGTATCCACTGAAACACGTGGGCTATGTGAAGACTTATGCCCTGCACATAAATTTTTGTTTTGGATTACATTTTTCCTATCCCAGTTTCCCCCCTGAAGGTCTTGTTTAGTTAATGTCGTGGGTGCTAATTGAACAGCCTGAGCTCCACTTGAAACTGAGGTCAAAATATTGCTTTGTTCGCATCGCTATGAGCCATATAGCCTCCTGCCTCCCATAATGCTTCAAACCAGCTGAAGTAAACCTACAAAATGAATTCTGGGGCGAGATATGCAAACGCTGAGCGAGCCATGTGAGCTGAGTGGATTATCTATAGCTGCAGTCCTGCTGCTTCTCCGGGATAGCGCCTTTTATTATGGAGTGTTTTATTGCTGCGAGGAGTAAAGCTGACAAGGAAGAGGCAGCTATAAAATGAAGCCTCCCATTCTTGGTCGTCTGCCACCTCCTGTGAAAGCTCTGCAGTTTGCATATGTGTGTGAGTGTGTGTACTGTATGTGCATGCTGGGGATTGATGTGCATTGTGGGCTTGTTTGTTTGTTCAGTTGGTATAAGATGAGGCGCTGAGTTTCTAGAATAAATAAAGTGTCAGTGATTGCTTGAGTGTCAGTGTAATCTATGTGGCTCTGATATCTAATCTATCCTGTTCTCTTACTACAGAGTGCGTACAGGAGTTTATGTGTACAACAGCATCAGCAGGAAGTTGGGAAATTATTCATTTTAATGTGCTACAACATCTGGCTTTAAGCTGACAGAGTTTTGGCTTAAAATTGAATGTCCTAAATAGTTATCCAGACCTCACAATGAGCCAATGACCCGACAGTAAAACATGACAGTGTATCATTGATATGTTTTCTTTTTGCCTCATGTCTCAATTAGCCTAAAACATCAAGAACAGAAGATACTGTTCCCAGGAGGACAGCGAGACACACCCAGGGACATTTTTTCAACAGTGACCATGCTCACATGCTTTGCAGTGGGGAGTATCAGGGATCAGTGGAAGCACAGTGCTGACAGATTGACCCATACCAAAGCCCTCTGTCATTACAGGGATCAAACTCTTCAAGGCCTCAGACTCTCACTTTTACTCCTCCCACTGAAAAAATGCTGCGCCTGCCCTCCTCACTCACACAACCACAGTTACATGATCAGGCAGCCAGAGCTCCATATCAGTGTTATATTGGCATCCTGGAATCTCTGCACATGGTCCCTGTCTTTAGCAAGCTGTGTGTGAATACATGTAAACACTGCATGATTTAGTGGAGCTCAGTCAGACTCCAATTCATGTGCAAAACACTCGGTGAGGCTTGAAAGTTTCCCAGCGTCTGTAATTTTACTCTTGTGAGAATTATGCAGATGCTTATTTCTGATTGAATTATGCTGTTCCTCTGCAGCAACCAGTCAGATTTTTTCGCAGAGATACTAAACCTCTTTTACTTTAATGCTCCAAGGAAATTATTTTTGGCTAAAAAGGTCCCAGGCCTGCTTTTATGCTTATATGTCTGTGCAGCAAGAATAAAAAGAGTTAAAATATATTAGTCCATTAACTGTCCTCAAATACTGGTATCAGTTTCCACCTTGTCTCTTTCAATTTATGATTATATAGTACAAACTTGTTTTTGCCAAACATACTCAGATGGAAACACAATTCAGTTTGATAACAAGAGATGCAGCCATTTGCCAAGGGGAACTGGAGTTCATGGGTAAAATTTTCTTTCCAAACAATCAACGGTGTTACTTACTGAGAACCAACATGCAGTTAAAGTCTGACACTGATCTGGTGATGCCGGAAAAAGATATTGAACGTATCTAAATGGAAATAATCAGTTGTGTTGCTGATGGAATCGTTTACTTGTGTAGGTGTAGAAAAATCTCAAAGGAGTTTTATGAAACATGAAAATATGTTTTTTTCTTTTTTTTGCAACATTGGAAAATCAGGAGTTTAAAGTAATTCATCCCCTACGACTAGGGCTGGGCGATAAGGGAAAAAGTTTATCACAATTCATTTTTTTCTTATCAGTCAATATCGATATGTATCATGATATTAAAAAAAAACCACTTGTCAATCTTAAATATTTCTTGTTACTTTTAAATGAAATTTAACATGTACTCGACATCATTTGCAGTGCACATTACTCTGCTTCATGTCCGACCTCAAAGAAACAAAAATACCTCCACACCACCAACGTTTTCATGCCAGTGTTGTCGACGATGTCATCATCTGTTGAGCCTTCATCTTCATTTCTGCCGGGGGTAGCACTCATTTTCTTTTTTTCTCACCAACAGTGCTGTCGGCTTCACATATTAAAGTGCTATGGTTGCATGTAGCTGCAGCCTGCTACTATGCAGTTTTTTGCTACTTGGTTCTAATTCAGCACATGATGGTTCAGTGTGGCATGACCTTGAGCAACTTCCCTTTTCATTGGCTAGTCATATAGTCGACCAAAACATGGCAGAATGCGACTATTGAAAAGCATATTGACCATGTTTCAAATTGATATTGAGGAAAATTAATTTTCAATATATATCATTAAAGTTTTATCGCCCAGCCCTACTTAGCACTGACATATATTTTACCAGAGACCCCAAAGTTTTTCACTATAAAAAATATAAACCCTAAGGTGAGATTTTAAAAAATCAGAGGATCAGACTCAGTGAAGTTTAGGAGAATACTACCATCTGTCAAAAACTCTCCACCCATAGATGCCCAGAGACTTTGTTGAGACAATTAAATTAAACAATTAAATACTTGTGTGCGTTTCAGCTTGAGTATTCATATTATGAGTCAGTGGTAAGAGAGATCAAGAAACTCGAACACAGCTCCTGACTGAGATAGCCACCTGTGGGGCTTCCTCACTGACACGGCTCATTATGCTGTTGAGTGACTATGAAAAGGTGTTTTTTTTACTTGACTTATTGCCAGTAAAGGTAAAGAGTTCAAATCACACCTTTCCAGTCTTAAATCTGGCCTCCAGAGACAGATAACCCCATCAGGTGTTCAGTAGTTGTTTGAACAGTGTTCCTGTTACAACAGCAGAGAAAGTTTTATGTGTAGGAACTTTGTTTGTGTGTTTGTTTGTGTTTTCCAACAGTAGGGGGAAAAGGGAAGGTGTTGGTTGCGAGAAAGCATGTTTTCTCTCCTCTCTGCCTCTCTGATTACTGCTGTTTTGGCAGCTGACGCCCAGTAATGGAGACCTGGCTGTCAGGGAAATTTGTAGCTGTCTGCCGTGGAGCAGCTCTTCATTCCAATCAGCAGCTGTCAGCCCAGCCGAGGCCATTATTAATGACGGCCACTAACTGCCTCGCAAATTCTCAGCACTATTTGGGAGCCAGCGTGAAATAAGGTCACACTCTCCCCGAGTGCTGCTGTGGGTTAATGCAGAGGGCTCGAATATCAAACAACTACCTCTAAGCATGTTTTCTAATATAAGAAAATCAAATAAAGAAGAACTTTGTTGAATGTACACAACAGTAAAGCAATGATTAAAGTTTTGTCCTTGAGAGATAAAGCAGCTTTTAGCTCTTTAAGTTCCTGTGATCATGCCTGTGTGCCAGGCTGAAGTAGTCAGCCAACTTGATTGACTGATATAAGCGCATCATAAAAACTTCCTTGTATGGTGGTTGTTGCACTAATAGAATTGTGCGAGAGGCCATAAATGTGAGCGTGACAGAAAAAGCATGTGTTTGTCAGCTGTTAAACACGGGGAACGGGCACACTGGGGAACAGCTGCCGTATAAATCACTCACCTTTGAAACGCTGCGATGAGCTTGCCACCCTCTCACCGTCACTCTCTGGGTCAACAGAGGAAGGATTCAGGGCGGGGATTGAGGCTGGCACTGGGGAGACTGGACACCACCTCCAATCTTCCATGTGTCAGGCAGACGGGGCAGCAGGAACACGAGGGCTGTGTATTTCATCATCATTTCCTAATCGGCGCAGTAGGAACAGTACTTTAAACTCATTGCACAAAACCCAAATGCATAAAAAACAGCCATCCTGAGATGAGTGAGTTCCAAACTAATGGCGAAAAAAGGCTTTTTGGATTTATTGCACAGGGGGGAGAGGTTGTGTAGAGACTGGAGGGTCACTGGTTCAAGTCCAGGTATGGTTCAAAGCCTGGCAGGTTAATTCACTGCCCTTGAGCAAGGCACTAAAATCCCAACAACTCAGGTGCTCACCTGTTTACAGCCCCATAACTCAAACACAAGTCTATTAGTACACATTGACATTATCCTGGTAGTGTATGCATGTGTATGTCTAGAAACACTTAGAAAAATAAATCATGGCATAGTTTATTTGTAAGTATTTACATGTATTTGATTTAATTTAAACTATTACATTTTGTAGAATTTATTTATTCAAGTTTCTTAAAATTATCATAAATCTGAAAACAATTCAACTCAGTCAGTTAAAATGTATGAATATGGTTCAAATATCACGAGCTATAGATCAATCAGATTGAATCTCCTTAAGGGACAGGATGCTCCACCCAAAATGGGTGATGGAGAGGTATCGAAGGTCATTCCTTCCTGCAGCTGTTAGACTCCACAACAGAAACCTCAGTGTGTAATAAACCATATTTATATGTATATTCTGTACACATGTATACTTATTCTATGTACATAGTCATACATTTAAATATCTCCTCTTTTAACTGTAATATATCAACATGTAACAGCTGTAAATAACACACATGTATATACCTTTTTTAATACCTTATAACTCCTAAGTTTCTTCATTCTTTAATTTTCTCTTATATTTATTGCTGCTTTAAATGTTTAATTTCCACTTGTGGGACGAATCTATGAGACAGAAACAAACTAGATTTATCAATAATACATAAATCTTCATTATTTATTCATAAATCATAAATAATACATAAATCTAATTCTTAATTGTTTAATTTACATTTGATCGACAGATATACGGCAAACA